TTCTGAACATTGCTCGTTCGATAGCACATCGTCTGTTCTATGCTGGTGTTGTCGGTGAAATTCTCGTTGGTATTATATATGCTGCACCTCTATCAAATATTTTAAAAACAGAACGGGAACAAACGATTCTTGATTTTGGTTATCTAGGATTATTATTACTTGTTTTTGAAGGTGGACTAGAAACACGTCTTGACTTCTTGGCTATCAAAAGTAATCTATTTCTTTCATCTGTTATTGGCTTCACTGAAATTTTAACACCAATTGGTTTGTCAATTCTCTTATGTGCGTTTGGATTTAAATTTAATTACTTAGAATCATTTGCAATGGGTGCATCATTAAGTGCAACAAGTCTTGGTACAATATTTGCTATTCTTTCATCACAAGGCAAATATCAACTAAGGGTGTGGGTGTGGGTGTGGGTGGGTGTGGTGGGGTGTGGGTGTGGGTGAGAGTAGGGGTGTGGATGTGGATGCATTATTCATTAGACATGCACACCCACACCCAAAGCATGAACAATAAGTGCTGTCTTCTTATGAATTAAAAAGGTCGTTTTGATATGAGAATAATAGTGCATATTTAGATCAACAGTTCGATGAAAGTGAATCGTAAGTACCCATGTTCAAATCTACTTCTTCGTATATGTTCGATAGGTCTCGATGACTCGAAATCTATATTCGATGGGTTTGAACAACTCGAAACTGAGACATCTATCGGATAAAAACTCTTTTTTTTTGATGAAATTTCGATCCATCGGAAACGACTATTCGAGTGCTTGAAAACTGCTAGTAAAAACAACCTATCGCCGAACCCTCGACCCATCGGAAAATTGCACTCCCAGGGATCGATTTGAAATTTCGATGTCCAACGGAAGCCAAAATCGACGCGTCGAAATACCTATCGAATGGTTAGTTGGAGTGTTTGTCACCATCATCCGATATTGCCAATGACAAGGGAAAACAATCAAATAACTCGATACACTCGATAGATGATTATTGTTTATGTTAATAGATCAAATTTTGATCATAATAATTTTTGTAATTCTATTCAATATCAATTGATTGTATACACCATTTACAGTCAGTATACCAAAGGATGCACTTCGTATTGTTTAAAGCAGTTTTATTACTCGAGTGAGATATTAGATCGTTATGAAAGTGATTTTATGCGGAATCTCATATATTCCATGAAAGAGAATAGGATGTGCGAAATTATTCAGTGAAGGTTTATGGATCTCCTTTCCCCTCTAGGATGTGAAAATCGGAGTCAATAGTAATTAGCGACACAAAGTCTGTGATATTGAAAAGAAGAAGGAAATAATACGATATAGTTATTAAGAATGAAGATAAGATACAGATCTGTCCTCATATCCACACGCATAAATTAATCCGATGAAGAACATGTATTTACCTATCATTCAAACTCTATATAGTTTATCAAAAAATATCGTTATCACAGATTTAAGTTAATCATTTCTTTACTTTAGAAGGTATTTTTAGAATTCGTCCAAATTTCTTTTTAACTTTCTCACGCATCAAAACATGAGATGAAACTTATTTTTTTCTGAAGTAGAAAAAACTGTCGGATAAATTGAATGAATACACATACAAATCATCACATTCAGAACAAGTATCAGAAGATGATTTTCATTGATTTCTTTATTCACGTATTTGTGCTTTTCGTTTGTATACTAAACGTATAAGGTTTTTCAGTTCTCTTTCAAATTTAATATAAATATCATTTTTGTCAAGATTACCATTAGTTGGATATTCTCCAATAGGTATACCAATATAAACACCATGAACAATGCTTCCAATAGATAAGTGAACAAATTGACCATTTTCATTAACATTTGCTGTACAACAAATGATAATTGACCAATTTTTATTTAATAAATAATATGTTAATGTATCATAATGTTTTCGTTCATCCAAATTCTGAATATCATCTGACCATTGACACCTTCCATCAGTCCATTTATATCTACGTTGATGATTTTCAACAAATTTTATTTTAGCAAAGTGAAATGCACTAGCTGCTTTATCCAGTGGTGATCTTGGTTCATAGGATGATGACAGAGCACGTATTCCTATATCATCTAATTTAATCAAATCATCTGAAACATCTTCGAGTGTTTCAATGGTAGCGGGAGATTTACTATATGATTCTAATGTATTTCGAATTAATTGTAAACGAAAATCGAGTTGTTCAATAGTCCATTGACGTTTGGAAAATTCAAAACCTTTATCGAATGTTGTCATCAAATATAGTTCTAATTGTTTTGTTAATATTTCGCGTTCTGGATTTGATAGGCCTTTGAAAATCAAAAGAACATGAATAATACCTTATTCAACATTTAAAACGCCTAATTATTTTTTATACATACCCGTCATAGTCAAGACTAGATCGTTTATTTTCTGATTAATTTTTGTTATTGCTTGTTGATGTGGTGCTAAATTTGTAATATTATCTCGATTTTTTCTGGGAACTATTTGTGTTAACATCCAGAATAAGATAGCACAAATACTTGACGCATCAATTGTTGGACTACGTCGAATAACATAACAAAGATCATTTTTTTGTTTATCTGTCATTTGACTAACATCCTGTCTATTCAATTGAGGTACACGATACCATCGATTCCCAATTGAATCACCGGGTTCAGTTCCGTATGGATCCTGATCATATCTGGACCAATCGATTTCAATATTTTCTTGTGTTTCAATGTATGATAAACCAAAATCAATAACAAATACTTGAGCTTTATCAGTTGAATGACTGTAATTCTCGCAAGTAATCATTATGTTATCAGGTTTAAGATCACGATGTACAATACCCATTTTATGAATACCTTTGACAATAAATAATAATTTTTCTGTTAGAGTAAGTGCATCCAGCAATGTGAAACCTTGTTTATGATTATAACGTTGTGTAACGTATTCTTTTAATGTAACTCCTTCTATAAGAGTCATTATTGTCCAAAATGGTTTATAATCGTTTTCATTTATAATATCAGAAAAGTTTTCCGGAATATTAGTAACTAAACCTGTTTCAGAAGGATATAAATGACTGACATTCGACAAGTCTAATCAAACAGCTTGGACAATTGAAATTCAGAAAACAAAAGAAATGTTTACCTTTTAATTTTTTCATTGCAGTTATTTCCCGATAAGCTCGCATTTTTCTTGTTGTTGAATCATATGTATAAACTTTAATTGCTGCTGTTATCTTCTCATTAGTACACAAACAAATTTTAGTAACTTCTCCTTCACCACCAGCTTTCGTTTCTTTCTTAGATTTTTTCCATTTTATTGGGACATCGAATGGTAATCCTTTAGGTTTTATACCTAAAACGAACACATCGAAAAAGAATTCAATCGTAAACAATAAAGTCTTGTCTAATTTACAATTTATCACTCAGAATAAACTCATCAAAACTACGTAGATATTTTAATGATAAATAAAATCCATAAATTTCAAATCCAATTCTTGGGTTGCAATTAGTCAGCTGTGGAGATACCAAGAGGGAAAAAGCGAAAATGCCATACTCCCACGTACTTCCTGTACTCCCAGGCTATGCCATAACTGTGCATTAGATCTTTTTTAGTTCTTTTATGTCTACTATCGACCTGTATTACAGTATATTAGCCGGAGTCCAGTCTACGCAAGTCTATCTGACAATAAAGTATTTGGGCTTTGTCTTGAGGTAGATTTACGTAGGCAGGACTCCGGCTAATATACTGTAATACAGATCAATAGTAGACATAAAAGAACTAAAAAGATCTAATGCACAGTTATGGCGTAGCCTGGGAGTACAGGAAGTACGTGGGAGTATGGCTTTTTCGCTTTTTGTGTACTCAAAAAGTGAGTACACTCTAGAATCGGTCAGTATGTCCGTCCGTCCGTCCGTTAACACGATAACTTTTGAAAGGAGAGTCCAATCGCGATGAAATTTTATACGCAGTTCAGTCTTAACAATGTCTCGGTCGAGTTCGAAGATGAGAAGAATTGGCCGAGCCCTTCCTGAGTTATTGCAAAAATACTCATTTTCCCCTGCACCTTCCCTATGGAAAGATCGACCCATCCCCACTTTCGTAAAAGACTTTTCCTATCATAGTCAACTAAAACCCCAACTATTATATACCATTCGATAGAGAATTTCACGAGCTACAAAGTGGTATATAAAACATAAGGAAACAAGAAAGCCAACTCAGCTATTGCAAAGATAATTAATCGGAATTCGGTTCTGTTTTTGTCACGCTCTAATTGATCCACAAATAGAGCTCTATCTTTCGATCACAGAGATGATAGTTCGAGGTTTTCTGGGTCGGAGAACTCTAATCTGTGCTCTATTCGCCTCAAAATCCCATTGGTTGAACAGTAACCAATAGAAATCAAGTTATAGGAAAAACGACTTTCTTATGGTAAATCAAGGTGAAGAGTTCAAATCTGAGCTGTATTCATCCCCAAATCCTATTGGTTGAGCAGTAGCCAATAGAAATCAAGTGTTTATAGATAAGGTTTGCCAGAATAATTTTTATATCCCCATATTCTAGAACGACTCATGTCTCATTCAGTTTTTGAAGTACACATAACTCTCGGATTTAAATCCGAAGTTTCCGCATTTATTCTTCCTTGGGAAGTACACATAAGTCCTCACAAGCCATTCCATGGAAGTATCCATAGGTCCCCATGGCCAATCCTATACGAGTATCCATCCAGAATAGATCATGAGAATTAATCACTACTCCATAGAATAGACTACAAGGATGATAACTGCTCTTATAGGATAGCTATTAAGGACTTATGAGTATTCCTAAAAGATAGGGCATATGGACTTATAAATACTCTATACCACATCAATTCCAATGCTTGGCATTGACTCGAATTGAAATCGTTGCATCCTTAATGAAAAACTAAGATTCAATAGAACCCTTTCTGAACTTTCGATTTGATGAGACTAAAACAGTTCTCATAAAAGAGAGATTATTGGGACTTATTTTTCCACAGAAAATATTTATTAAGAATTTGTTAACTTATCAAGATTGCAATGCATCTTCACCGTATCCATTTATAGGATCCAATAAAATACCTGCAACTTTTGAGTTATGGATATTATTTGTTTTGGATTTCTCTTATTCTTATCGAATTCTACATCTAGGAAATATCTAGGATCAAAATGACGTAGTTAAATAATTTATTTTCTTTAACAGTATTTTTTAAATCTCCACTAGTAAATTAAACTGTATTTTTAATAGATTTAATATTTTTACTTCGCTCGAACTTTATCTTATATGTATCTAGAATCAAAAAGACATACTGACCGTTTTTCGCTTCATCTTCATAATTTGCTTTTACTGATGGTTGCGAATTACTAACTCTATTATCTTCTTTAGCCGACTCTTGTAAATTAATAAATTCATTTTGAGTTAAATTTTCGTCATCAAGATCACTGTCCTGCTGTGAATTGATCACATCAAAGTCACCGATCTCACCATCTATATCATTATTATCAATCTCTAGTTGATATTTTAAAGTGAAACCTGGAAAATATTCTTTTTGTTTCCAATATTTGATGGATTTTTGTGCGAGTTTCTCTGATGACTGTCCTCTGAGGTAACCGATTGTTCCATTGGATGTCAATGTCGATGTTTCGTTTCGAAGTATAACGTACTGACCTTTTGCTTTTTTTCCCAATTTTTCTTTCAATGATTCAGCTGTTGTACCGATTGGTAGTCCCATTATTTTAATACGATATATCTTCTTGAAATCTAAATGAATAACAAACAATACAAAGAGTATTTGTAAAACATGCGATGATCCACGATGATCCACGAAGAACCAAAAGTACAGCCAACATTCCCACAAAGAGTCATCATCGTTCACGATGACCCAACAAAAGTCAAATCTTTATTCAAACAGTTACGTTCTATGGGCTAATGTGCTGATCTAGAATTTCGACGAATCCACGATGACCCAAAA